ACCTCTACGCCTGACCCCGGCCCTTATGAAAGAGCTGTAAAAGGAAAGTGATTGTTGGAAGACGGCCATAAAGAGTCAAATTTCTGGTTCACAAGCCATTGTAAGATCACAACAAACAGCTCTGACCAGGCCAGCCTAATGAGGAATAAACACTGCATATCATATTATAAAAAACATTTTACAACATGTTGGTGGCAGCATTATGCTGAGTGGAGGAAGGTACAGAAAGGGTGGTCAAGGTTGAAGAAATGGTTGCTCTGACTCAAAACAAAAAACAAAACAAAACTAAAAATACTTTGTAAAGGATTCTGCAGTAAATACAAATAAGCAGCCACTAATTTAAATAATCAGGCAACTGTGGTAGTGTATAACTACACTGGACAAACACATTCAGTTGCCTAAACTGAACTTTTCAAGCTTGACCATGACCTGGATGACTGAAAAACTTCACATATATGCAATCAGACTATGTGCATTGTGTCGAGTGTGATGGATGTGGCTTAGAGCATGCCAGAAGGAGCTTCAGTTATATTAAAAGTGTACAAACATTTCCATCAGTTTAATACACCTATATCCTGAAATGAAAAAAAAAACAATCATTTATGAATGACAAAATGACAGAATATGCAGAAGTTCAATGATTATGATTAATTCTACATAAAACTATACACAAATAATAAAGAAGCCAGTGTATATACTGTATGTATCATGTACTTTTCTGTATATTATAGCTCAAGACTTCAGTGACACAGGACATGTCTTGCCTCTTTGTTGTACCATAAACTCAATTTTCATGTCTATATCTGAAGACACAGATTTGTAACTTTATTTTTTTCTAAGGCTGCTTCCATGTGTGAACATGCTTGTGTTCAAATAACATACGCTTTTTCAAGGCAGGCCTCTCTGGACATGTTCTGTGCCAAAAGGTTAGACGCCAAGTTGAATAATTCCTCAGCCCATTCCTGCAGAAATTAGACCAACGCACATTATGCTAGAATATTTTATCTTATAGGTTTGTCATCTATTAGACATGTTTATGTTCAGAATAAACACCTTTGCAATTTCCTCTTGAAACGCCATGAAGTTCAGGTAGGTGATGTTGACCATGTCAGTGCCACTAACCACCGTCAGCATCCTGTTCTCCATCTTCCCCGCCAGTGTGCTGACATCCAGCAACTCGCGCAGCTTTGCATCCTTTATGAGGAAAGCACACACAAAAACAACAGAAGGAAATCAGTGCAAACAGTTAGGACAATAAATAAATCTAGATCACTGTTTTAAGACGTAAAATCAATTTTTATGATTACAGTTTTCAAACAGTATAGTGGGGACAAATGACCAAATCCTGCATCCAAAGACCAGCAGGATAAACAAACCTTCAAGGGGAAACAAATGATGCTAAACAGGCCATGGAAAAGGACAAGGAATGTTATTTTGAGGAAGCAGGAGACAGTCCTGCGCTGTGTCATGAGATTTTAGCTTTCAAAACAAAAAAAAGAAAACCATTCTGAAAGCACTGAACTCCAACAAGCCCCATTAGCACTTGGTGTATCCGCCTCATTTGAGGCTGATTTGACTGATTAATGAGAGGTTCACTGTCTGCACAGTCACTGCGACATGATGAGAGGTGATAAAGTCTAAGAAGCAGCCATTTGGTGTTTCACAACACTGAAAACATCAACATTTTTTAGAAAAAAAAAAAAATTGTCTTTAATTACAAATGAAGGGGAGTAGTGGCTTAGCTGGAAGCTGCCCACTATTACTAATGAAAGAGTTGAATGCAGAAGACAATGTTTTTTGTAATACACTTGCAATGACCAATGAAATTTTTTATTATTATAATTTAAAAAAAAAGTTGAACAGTGATGTATGGAATATCGTATTGAGATCAGATCCATATGATCCAGTTTTTCAGGGATTTGTTTGATGGGTAGCAACTCAAACTCTGAAAAATATTAATCATTTTACCGCATTCATTGAAGGCTCTGACACATAGAACTCAGAACATTTTCTTCCATATATCAACAAACTAGGTTCGGTACATAAATTGATCTTGTCGAGTCCTTCCACTTTTGGTGGATTAAAACACATTTTTTAAATCAACATACTGTAAGTCCAATAAAGGAATTTGGTTCATGAGCGTATTCTTTAAATAATTCTGCTGAAGCATGGTTGAAAAGCAGTTAAAAAGTAATTATTTTTGTGAGATTTAAGTTATTTCTTCGACAATTGTAGGTTTTCATTTCATTAAACAAGAAAAAGTATTAAATATATTATATTTTGATATTATAAAAAATGTGGAAATTTATATTAAGCACTAAGAAGAGGAGAACAAGTTCTTGTGCCACTCACATATATGGGTTTCCTCAGAAGTCTTTTATTTAGTAAAAAAAAAGCTTTAAGCTTATGAGAACAGACTGTCTCCACCTTAAGCAAAGCAAAGTCCACACTTAATTCGCCTCCACATTCATCATCTGACAAATTCAATAGCTTGTTTGAAGAAATCTCCTCTGCTAAAACAAAACAGGCTGCTGGCAATAATCCAACTGCAGACAAAATCTCTAGAGATTTTTTTTTTTTCTCTGAGAACGGAAAACAAATTTTAACAAACATAAATTTAGGTAGCTAATCTTTTGTGCAAATCCTAAAATACCATCTATAATTCCTCAGATGTGCAAGAGACCAGAATAATAACCCTCCTTCTCTCCCCTTTGTGGTTTAGTATGCTAGTTGCACGCATACTAGTTGCTCTGGCTTAATTAACAAAACAAAAAGCTTTGTAGAGGATTCTGCAGTGAACGCAAATAAGCGGCCACTAATTTAAGCAATCAGACTATGAGCATTGTGTTCTGTGTCTTAATAGATGTCCTCTACACGTCCCTCACGTCCCCAAATCAAATTGCACAGCTCAGACGTCCCCCATCTCACCCACCCCCTGATATTATCTCATTTTAAGACAAACATTTATCGATTTGCTGTTTAAGAATAGATTTTGTTTCTATGACGCCATTGTTATTGTTATCGTAAATTAGCAGTAGTTTTCCCAAAAATATTTGTTCTGCATTATTCACTTGTTTAATCTGGATGGTCCTAATGCTTAACCACTTGTAAACACACGGATATTAACATCAAAATAAGAATCCATCAACCCCCACTTATGTATTCAGTGTGCCACAAGCTGAATCTGAAAGTGTAAAAGCTATTTTCTTCTGCGTACAATAGAGAAGTACCATGGATGGCTGCCAAGGATGATAGACTTCTGAGAACAGACAAGATGACAGTAAGATGCATATTTCATTTATTACGGCACTTGAACGTCAATAGAATGTGATACTGTTTTGATTCTACTTGTAGCCATTAGCTCAACATGCTGCTTATCTCCTCATGTGCAGTCAGTGCAGAGCTAGACTGACAGGAACCTGCAGGCACTTAAGGCAACCTGAACATCATCAGCTGCAACTGTGATGGGAAAAGGAAAGAAAGATGAAGTCAGGCAGATGAACCAGCTTGAGGAGGAGTAAGGTGATAAAGAAAAGCTGAAATAATGCCATGGTATAAAAGCATCATGGGAGAAGCAGGGGTTCAGTCATGTGAATGAAATCCAATTTCTACTGGTGCATTCAAGGCGAGTGTAGAGGCTGGCCTTGGGCCCCAGTTACCACAAGCTGGAGGTTTAGAGCAAATTAGCTGTGGGGAAAAGGCAGGATGGGATTTGAGTTCAGAGAAAACTTCTTTAAGAGCTTTTAAAGACAAAACCATAAAATGTCCACAGTTTGCAGAGCACATGTGTATAAATATGTTTGGTGTATCTGTTTATCCAGGCATGCTGCAATCTGTTTTTTTCGGGCAGCTGCTGCCTTTCAACATGTGAAGTCCTCTCAGAGACGTAACGCTTAGGCGAAGCTGCGGCTTGAGGAAGGAAAAAAACCTTTTCTGCCTCCATGAGTTTGTCACAAGGCCCCACCTGTCGTCAGGTTGGTGCTCAAACTGAGTCACACTCTAATGGACAAGAGGAAGGGATTCAGACTGGCAATGGGAAATTAGGAACAAAGCAGGTCATTAAACCCAGAGTACGGCACCTGTCTTTACTCACACACGGATGCACATGTAAACCAACCCACACACCCTTTGACACACACAGCCTCACTCTTTCAAACGCCTAAAACTGGATCCTCAGATCAAGCGACATGCGCACACAGCTGATGATGCTGTTGATGTTACTAAATATACACACAAAGACACCAGATCAAAGGAAATGTCTACATGAATGATTGATTGACCTATCTGAGCACACATGCCACATCGTCAAAGGCAAGCATAAAACAGCATCAATCTTGATTTTTTACTGTTAACATTTAAGTAATTTTTTCAGAGCAGAATTTAATGTTAAAAATAGGTCATCTATCCCGGTATATATTCAGTATGAAAACTGCAGTCGGATCTTTACTGTAAAAAATATCAATTTGATGCTGAAAATGAAATCAATATGTCACTAACCGCCCTTCACAGTAGATTAACGGTGAAAACAATCGGCAAAAACACAGATGATCTAACGGGCTCTTGGTGAGGTTGTTTCAAGTGCAAAAAAATGTACTTTGCTTCTCATTATAGCTTGAGAAAAAACAGAACTTCAGGGATGATCAGATCTTGGTTTGTCAAATATTTTGGTGGTTATTTATCTTTGTCTTGTGGTACAGGCTTAGTGGTACAGACTGGTAGAACCATTGGACAACTATAACATATTCAGAGAATATAAGGTAATTTAAAAGAAGAGGAATTGGAAGGGAATAAAAAGGAGAAGGAAACAGCACAAAAAATGGTTTCTAGGACAATTACCATAACAATATACAATTACAATATACAATAACAGCAGCAAGAGTTAAAGGCTTTAGAGGCTTTGTGTAATCAACTCTAAGTGATCAATAAATCTACAAAGACGTAATTTTAACTATAGTTTTAAAGTTAATGGCAGAATGCATCCTCTAATGCTGATGATAAGAATATTGATATTTGATATAAACAACCCTCCTTTACCTCATTAATAACTCAGAAGAATCTGAGACTAAATAAAAAAAAAATAATCCTGTAAATTGAATACAACTGATATTAGCACTGCTGAAACAACCACGTTTTAGGAATACTTCTTCAGACTTTGTTTTTGTGTAATACTTTTTTTTTTTTTTTTTTACATCAATTACACTTTTGTTCATTGTTATTAATTAATCAGATCAACTACAACTTGCCAGGATGGACATAAATATTTGGTTCTGTCATCTAAATGCACAAGCAGACTGGAGCAACTAACATTTGCCACACCTTTTCTGGGCCTGAGGACCTCCTCCAGCAAATCCAGATGCACTATATCACAAAGTGATGATGGATCTGAATTATTAGATCATCATTAAGATTTTTATCAGTTTTACTGAATAAAACATAAGATGTAACTTTCTTTCTAACTGTCAAATTATGTAGACATATGCACAGAGGTCTCTCTCTTTCATTTTACCTATGTCTATGTTCCACAAAAGCAGATATGGTGAGTTTTCACTTTACTTTCACAGATACTAAATATAGACACAAAACCTGCACCCACAACCTCTTTTATGTTAAATAAATCACATTGCAGGTGCTGTATAAATTTGCACATCCTCCAACCAGTATTTTGCAGGTACTGATAATCAGCATGTTCTTCATACAAAGGAAAACTAATGTATCTATACAAACAAACCTTTGGTAGATTACTCACTATATGACATTAACTATATTATTACATTAGCTTCCATCACTCCATAAATGTTCTTCCTTTTCCAGTAATTTCACAGTGATAAGATCTTACTACATCGGATAAGACTGAAGGGAGATAACTTCACAAACTTCGTTAGAAGAAGCCTTCTTTAATCAGCAAATGTTTTTAGAATATAATTTTAGAGCATTTGAAATGAAAAGCCTAAATCAGTCCTGCCCCTGCAGCCACTTTCAGGTTATTTCATAGTTTTTAAGAGTTTTTGTCTTTTTGCATACATATCCTTGTTTGCCAGCGCGGTGAGTCACACAGTCTACAGAGCATTTTTGCTCTGAGTAAAACTAATCCTAAAATGACTCCCTCTCCTGGCGATGCAGTCATTTATTTAAGAGGGTTATGCTGCATCTCCAGAGCATGTTTTAAACATTAGCCACATCATAACTTACATGGA